CCCGGCGAGTGCACCGGTATCGCCTCCCTCCCCAAACTCCCTGCCCCGGTGAGGGTCCGGTACTGTCCCCCTTCCTGGACTCCCAGACCCAGAGAGTGCTCCTGTACTGCCCTCCTCCCACAGAGCTTCCTGCCCCAGTGAGTGTCCCAGTACCAGCCCAATCCCCGTGACCCAGCTCCCTCCCCAAACTCCCTGCCCCGGTGAGGGTCCGGTACTGTCCCCCTTCCTGGACTCCCAGACCCAGAGAGTGCTCCTGTACTGCCCTCCTCCCACAGAGCTTCCTGCCCCAGTGAGTGTCCCAGTACCAGCCCAATCCCCGTGACCCAGTAAGTGTTCTGGCACCACCCCCTCTCCTGAGCTTCCTGCCCCAGTGAGTGCTGATACTCCGCCCCCTCTGTGCCTCCCCCGCCGCCCCGAGCTCCATGCCTTGGTAAGTGGCCTGGCCCCCTTAACCATCTACCCCAGTAAGTGTCCCCACATATTACTGATCTGCCCCTCCTCCAGAGCCGTGTGTCCTTATGACTGTACCAATCCTACCCCCAGGAGCCACCTGCCCGAGAGAGTGACCCCTGGTATTGACCATTCTCCCAAGAGCCAGCCAGCTGCCCTAGTGAGTGTCTCCTGGTACCAGTTCCCTCTCCCCTAAAGCCATCTGCCCCTGTGAATTGGCCCCACTGAGCTGCCTGCCCTGGTTAGTGCCTCCCTCATACCGACCCAGTCTCCCTGAACCACAAAGATAAGATAGGGAAGAAGGAGGGAACTCGGGAAAGGAGGATGAGGAAGGAAGAGAAATAAAGGGCAGAGGGAAATTGGTTGGCGAATTCTGCCCCCAACATGAAATTGTCATTAACAATAGGACTTGGTTCCCTCTCCTAAATAAGCTTGACACTCCTGGATTACATTAAGACACGCAAAGAGGAAAAGCATAGTCCAAGGTCACAAGGTGAGTTAATGGCAGAGCCAGGAACAGAATCCAGAAGTCCTGAAGTAGTCCCTAAGCTGCATGACAGAGCAGCCTCCCATTCCTCTGTGCCCTGAAGGTTTCTCTCCATTTGCAGTGACCATCCGGCTGTGATCAAACGACGATTCACGAGCGTTCTGATTGTCTCTGGCCTCTCGCCACTCTTTCTCTGGCTCTGGAAGGAGCTAACAGGTATTAAGGTAGGACTGTTATCTGATCACTTCCCCCTCTCCCCTTAATCCCCCATGGGTAAAATGCCTTAAGTGGGATAGCAGTCATGTGACTTGTGTAGCAAGCTGGGACAATCTTGAGGATGATAGAAGTAGTCATATGATGCTGAGCCTCCCTTGGATTCCATCGCCCCTCCTTCCTAGTTCCCATCAGGCACCTGGAAAAAAGGTTCCTAATTCCATCCGGGAGACTCCTCTAGGCTTTGTTCACAATTCCAAGTTTTGTCAACAAAATTTATGCTAACACCCTAAAATCGAAAAAACCAAAAATTGCCAGAGGGTGTTCACACTTACTCCCTCTGTTGACTGATCATGTCCTCATTGGTGGCACCATCATAGACAGTATGAGCAATGCACTGTGGGTATGCAGTGTTGTGGGAAGGCAGGGTCTTGGAATTTCTTTTGAGTTTTCCCAACCCACCCTCAGCTGCCCAGAGTTGAGTATCTCTGAGGTCTCCATGCTGGGAATACCAGAGCGGTGCAGCAGTCTTCTTCCCCCCTGCTCCCCAATGACAACAGTCTGCCTGCCTAGTACAGGTCAGAACAGGAACATTCCAATGATCTGCTCTTTAACAGCAGTGTCTACACTGGCTCTTTGTTGACAAAAAAAGGGAGGGGAAAAGAAGGCAGAGAGGTGGAAGTTAATGTTGCCAAGAGTGGACATTTTTTTGGACAAAAGTCACATTGTTGTATACACACTCTCACTATTTTGCCACTAAAAGGCAGTTTTTGGTGACAAAAGTTGGCGATGTAGACAAGGCTTTAGTTCAGGGGTGGGCGATAATTTTGATAGGAAGTCACTCCAAGATTTTGGTAAGTGGTCAGTGGCTTTACTTTTCTGTGGAGAGGTGCGGATCTGGGATTGAAGTTAGGTGCAGAAGGGAGCTCTGGGTGGGAGATTGGGATGCAGGAGAGAATGTGGGGTCTGGGAGAGAGTTAGGGTGAAGGACGGGGTTGTGACCTGGGCAGGAGATTGGGATGCAGCAGGGGGTGCAGAGTTAGGAAGGGGATATGGATGCAAAAGAGGATTCTGGCCTGGGGGAGGAGTGTAGGAGGGGCTACAGGGTCTGTGAGGGAGTTGTAACCGGGGGCAAGAGGAACAGGGGGAATGCAGAGAGTTTGGATGGCGACCTAGAGCAAGGAGTTGGGGTGTGGGAGGGGGTGGGGTGCCAGAGGTGATTACCTGGGCAGTTCCTGGCCAGCAGCCCAGCAGAACCCTCAGGCAGGCTCCCTGCTTGCCTCAGTCACAAGCCACTCAAAGCAGCCAGCTGCTGGGGCCTTGTGCCTTTCTCCTCCGAGTGCCCATGGGGGGAGAAACTTCTCGCACGGCCCCTGCCCCCAGCACAAATGTCACAGCTCCCATTTGCTGGAAACCACAAAATCTCTTCCCTCCTCCCACAAGGGACACTTGGTAACTAGAGACACATGGTTCCATCAGCTAGCTGCTTTGAGTGCCTGGGGCTGTGGCTGTTAGGGAGCTTGCCTGAGGCTCCCTGCAGGCCACAGTCCAGATCTAAAGGGGAGCTGACCGCAGAGCTGGGCTGGGGGGTGATGGTGCTTGCATGGTCCTGATCCACATGTGTGTTGTGTTTTGCTCAGCCAGGTATATCCCTGCTAGCTCTGCTGGGCTTCCGGCTGGAAGGCATCGTACTGGCAACTGTACTGCCCTTGTTGCTTACCATGGTATGTGTGGGGATAATGCCTTAAGGCTGCCTTGCTCCAAGCTGGCAAGCGTCTGATAGAGGCTCTGCTGGGAGCAGGTGCCTACTTTCTCTTGGGGGGGCCAATGGCTCGCCTGTCAAATTGCCTTTTCTCAGCTCTGTTAACTGTAGCCTGCCAGTGAACAGAGATGCCAGGCTGCTGGGGATAGCTCACTGCAAGGCATGGACTCCTCCTTGGTGGGGATGTGATGCAGGTTGATTTGCCCTGACCTTGCTAGAGGAACGGGCACAGCAGAGCTGCCCCTCTGAGATCAGTTGGAAGGATTGTGACTCACTGACCAGACAGGGCTTAATGGCCAGATGCAGAGTTAGACTGAGATTTCCAAACTGCCCAGGAGTTTTAAATGCACGCTAAAATGCCAGAGAATCACATGCCCGGGCCCTTTATGTGACATTTGAACAATGGCTGCCATCTGGGGGGAAGGGGTGACAGGACTGACAGCCAGGGTAACCCTAAATGCAGAAGGGGATGCTCACTCAACCCCTCTTTTTCTGTGCCAGGTCCTGTTCCTTGGACCCCTTATTCAGCTCTCGATGGACTGTCCCTGGGGTTGGCTTGACGGATTGAAGGTCATGTTTGGTAAGTAGGGATGCAGACCAAAATCGTCCCGTTGGGTGACGATGGACACACTGAGAGACAGTCTCTGCCCTGAGGAGATCATGGTCTCACTAGATAAAGTCTTGGAGGGGAACAGACTCACCTGAGACCATTGTCAGGGCCAGGATGACAACCCAGGAGTGCCAGCTCTCAGCACAATGTGGCTAGAACAGTGGTTCCCAATGTGTGGTCTGCAGACCCCTGGTGGTCCGCGACGGTACTGCTGGGTGTCAGTGGAAAGTTTTAAAATAAGGATCAGTCCCACCACAGTGGGCCCGCTCCTTTCTTTTTCTCTCTTTTCTCCCCCTCTTTTTTTCTTGATTCCCTCTCTTTTTTCTTCTTTTTTCTCTATTTCTTTCTCTTCTTTCTCTTTTTTTCTTGTTTTCTTCTCTCTTATTTCTCTTATTTCTTTTTTCTCTCTATTTTTTCTTTTTCCCTTTTTTCTTTATCTTTTTCTGTTTTTCTCTTTTTTCTCTCTTTTTACTATTTTCTTTTCTCTCTCTCTTCGCTCTTTTTTTCTCTTTTTTCTTTTTCTCTCTCTTTTTTTCCTCCCGCAGAGATGGGGGGTACTTGAAATGCTAATAGATTTAAAAGGGATCTATATGCTCAAAAAGGTTGGGAAGCACTGGTCTAGACTATGCTGCCTGTAACAACAATTTGCAGGGAGTGTTGGTGGTGAGCTAAGGGCACAGGTAGGCAGTAGGGATGTGAATGATTAACCAGTAACCATCATCCTTACCAGGTAATGCATGTGGGTTATGGTTAACTGTCAATGGCTGGAGTAGACCCCCAGCAGGGGCTGCTCCAGCCCAGTAAGGCTCCCTGAACAAAGGTGGGGGGCTCTCCAGCCCAGCTGGAGCAGCTTACGCCTAGAGTGGGCCCAACTCAGCACACCATGGGCAGGGGCGCTTCAGCCTGGCTCTCAGCTGGAGCAGCCCCCCCGTTCATCCCCATTTAAGTAGTTAACCAGTGAAACATAACATTTAACCAGTTAACTGATTAAATGGGATTTTACATCTCTAGTAGGCAGAGCTCTGTCTCCTGGGAGCTGCTCAGACCTAGAGAGAGTGCACAGGGACAAGGCAGGAGGTCCCTGAATTAGGGGTGGGGGCATCCTCGGCCTGGTCTGTGCTTTTTGCTCAGATCTATTGAGATGAAAGGCTCAAGCAGCACTAGGAGGGGAGCTCTGTGCCAGGCCTACACAAGACATTCCAGAGATCTGAAGCAGTGCCAGACATACAATGCTGCCCACCTTCTCCCTGCAGACCCCCGCTTCTGGGCTCTGTGCTTGAGTGACATGCGCTGGCTCCGCAACCAGGTGATTGCACCACTAACAGAGGAACTGGTGTTCCGGGCCTGCATGTTGCCCATGCTCATTCCTTGCACTGGCCTGGGGCCAGCCATCTTCACTTGCCCGCTCTTCTTTGGCGTCGGTAAGTACCCAGCACTACTCAGGCCTCCTGACCAAGCTTCCCCTTCCAGCCACTGAAAACACCCAGGCAGAGTCAACAGTATGGCTCAGAGCACAGCCTCTATCTCCTCCCTCTCCTGATTGATAGGATAGTGGGGGCAGAGTCAGGGGATATGTGGTCTAGGCCCAGCTTTGCTCCTCCTCCTGCCTTCCCACATCACTGCATCTCCCCACACCCAGTGGGGCTGAGGGGCTTGCACTGACTCCCTATTCTCTGGCTAAAAGGGCTCTGAGCAGCCAGGCAAGGGAACCAGTACCTACCAGGTTCTGCTTCTAGCCTTCTCTCCCCAGTCCCACTGAACATAAAGTGAGCCCTTCAGAGCTACAGTTATGGGTGGATCCTCTCCAGAGAGCTCCCTGGCCACAGGCATCACTCGGGGTTGGGGGGTGGTGCTTGCCTTGGGTACTGAAGCAGGAATTAGAACCCTACGCACATCCCCTTGCCAGGTGCCCATCAGGGCCAGCATTTTCACAGAGATGGGGAACAGGTACAGCCTGGTTCAAGCCGACTTCTTGCTAATGGAGGCTGGGGGAGTGGGGAGGGAACTGGGCTAGCTACAGACAGTGATGGGTATTTCCCTCTTCCAGCTCACTTCCACCATGTTATTGAACAGCTACGTTTCCGCCAGGGCAGTGTGGCCAGCATCTTCCTGTCAGCAGGTAAGAAGTAGTTGTGATGGTGATACATGTCCAGCGCAATTGTGGCCAGTCTCCTCTCTCTCCTGCCCCCCCACCCCAAGCAGGGCTATCCTCAGGATTTCTGGGGCCCTATGCAGTACTGTTAAACTGGTGACCTATGTCTGATGGCAGCTGAGGGGGTTTGATAATTTTTTTAGAGATGGGATTTTATAATCCTCAGCAACGCACTAATGAAATATTTTAAAGCAAATTGTAAATTAAATCCCTGTTGCCTAACACAGTAAATGTCATATAAAAAATGGAAACTAGGACAACTAACAAAGGATGAATATAGGCAAGCAACACGGGAATGCAGGGGCAAGATTAGAAAGGCAAAGGCACAAAATGAGATCAAACTAGCTACAGGCATAAAGGGAAACAAGAAGACCTTTTATAAATACATTAAAAGCAAGAGGAAGACCAAGGACAGGGTAGGCCCACTGCTTAGTGAGGAGGGAGAAGCAGTAACAGGGAACTTGGAAATGGCGGAGATGCTCAATGACTTCTTTGTTTCGGTCTTCACCGAGAAGTCTGGAGGTGTGCCTAACGTAGTGAATACAAGCAGAGAGAGGGTAAGTTTAGAAGATAGGATACACAAAGAACAAGTTAAAAATCACTTAGGAAAGTTAGATGTCAGCAAGTCACCAGGTCCTGATGAAATGCATCCCAGGATACTCAAGGAGCTGATAGAGGAGGTATCTGAGCCTTTAGCTATGATCTTTGAAAAATCATGGCAGACAGGGGAGATTCCAGAAGACTGGAAAAGGGCAAATATTGTGCCCATCTATAAAAAGGGGAATAAGAACAACCCAGGAAATTATAGACCGGTCAGTTTAACGTCTGTCCCAGGGAAGATAATGGAGCAGGTAATTAAGGAAATCATATGCAAACACTTGGAAGGTAATAAAGTGATAGGGAATAGCCAGCATGGGTTTGTGAAGAACAAGTCATGCCAAACTAATCTGATAGCTTTCTTTGATAGGATAACGAGCCTTGTGGATAAGGGAGAAGCGGTGGATGTCATATACCTAGACTTTAGTAAGGCATTTGATACGGTCTCGCATGATATTCTTATTGATAAACTAGGCAAATATAACTTAGATAGGGCCACGATAAGGTGGGTGCATAATTGGCTGGATAACCGTAGTCAGAGAGTTGTTGTTAACGGTTCTAAATCCTGCTGGAAAGGGATAACAAGTGGAGTTCCTCAAGGGTCTGTTTTGGGACCCGTACTGTTCAATATCTTCATCAATGATGTAGATATTGGGATAGAGAGTACTCTTATTAAGTTTGCAGATGATACCAAACTGGGTGGGGTTGCAACTTCTTTGGAGGATAGGGACATAATTCAAAATGACCTTAGCAAGTTAGAGAAATGGTCAGAGGTAAACAGGATGAGGTTTAATAAGGAGAAATGCAGAGTGCTCCACTTAGGAAGGAACAATCAGTTCCATACATACAAGATGGGAAGCGACTGTCTAGGAAGGAGCATGGCGGAAAGGGATCTAGGGGTCATAGTGGACCACAAGTTGAATATGAGTCAACAGTGTGATGCTGTTGCCAAAAAAGCAAATATGATTCTAGGTTGTATCAACAGGTGTGTTGTAAGCAAAACTCGTGAAGTCATTCTGCCGCTCTATTCTGCACTAGTTAGGCCTCAGCTGGAGTACTGTGTCCAGTTCTGGGCGCCACATTTCAAGAAAGATGTGGAGAAATTGGAAAGGGTACAGAGAAGAGTGACAAGAATGATTAAAGGTCTAGAGAAGCCTATGAAGCCAGGCTTCATGAACTGGGCTTGTTTAGTTTGGAAAAAAGAAGATTAAGGGGGGACATGATAGTGGTTTTCAAATATCTAAAAGGGTGTCACAAGGAGGAAGGTGAAAATTTGTTCCTCTTGGTTTCTGAGGACAGGACATGGAGTAATGGGCTTAAAGTGCAGCAGGGGAGGTTTAGATTGGACATTAGGAAAAAATTCCTAACTGTCAGGGTGGTCAAATATTGGAATAAATTGCCAAGGGAGGTGGTGGAATCTCCCTCTCTGGAGATATTTAAGAACAGGTTAGATAGACATCTGTCAGGGATGGTGTAGACGGAGCTTGGTCCTGCCTTGAGGGCGGGGGGCTGGACTCAATGACCTCTCAAGGTCCCTTCCAGTCCTATGATTCTATGATTACCACTTGAATGGTTCTTTCTCAGGTTCAGTGTTCTGCTAAGAGGTCTGGCAGCTTTCTGACTTTTAAGTTAACTAGATACTCTCTGGAGGAAGTGAAGCCACAAAACAGGACTAGGAAGAGGTGAATGGGTGGACATTAGGACACATTGGTGCCCCACATTTTCTGGTGCCCTACATATTCAGCTGCATATTCTGCCTCTGGGTAAGCAAGGCCTTGCCCCCAAGCCATCAAGAGATGCAGCCATCTCTGGGGAGGGGAATATGTATTGCATCACCGTATTGGACTCTCAGAAGCATAATGAGAGCAGCCCAAGTTAGCTGGGAACAAACTGGCAGCAATCAGAACCAGACAAAAAGGGATGCAGTAAATGGTGATTGCATTACATCAGTGGTCTTCAACCTTTTTACACCGAAGATCACTTTTTAAATCTCAGAACAGGCGAAGCTCTACTGCCCCGCCCCTTTCTTGAAGCCCCCCCCTTTCTTGAAGCCCCGCCCTCGCTGTTCTTCTCCTGTCCATCACTTGCTATCCCCAGCCCTTACTTACACACTTTATTTTTAAATTATGCGATATATAAAATTAAAATCACGTGTTTATAGTTATGAAATTAATGGTCTGTTTTTTATTCATGCTATTTAAATCTAAAATGAAGCATTTATAATCATACATTTTGTGGGGACAGAGTTCTGCGGCTAGGAGCAGGGAAGAAGGAACAGAGTGCTAGGAGGGCAGAGGATAAGGTTCTGCACCAGGGGACAGGGTGCCAGTGGGGACAAAGTTCGGGGAGTGGGGACGGGAATGGGGACAGGGAAGTGGGGACAGAGTTTGGGGAGTGGGGATGGGAATGGGGATAGAGTTCTGTGGCTGGGGACAGGGTTCGGGGAGTGGGGACGGGAGTGGAGACAGAGTTCTGTAGCTGGGGACAGTGGAGTGGAGTCTGGGGAGTGGGGACAGGGTGCCAGTGGCAGCAGAGTCACCTGCATCTGCCTCCTCCCAGGATTCTCTCTCCCTCCCCCTCCATGGGAAGCCAGCACATGCCTCCTCTGGGCCCCCTGCAGCGCAGGGAAACCCGGGGGAGGATGGTGCCTGTGTGCAAAAGCAGCATAAGAGCCGCTTGCGCCTCTCTGCCCAGGACTCAGAGCTGCTGCCGGGGCACCGCGCACGCCGAGGCGCCAGGGCAGGCGGGATGCAGCCTCACAATCCCCGCAGCTGGAGGTGAGCCCGGGCCCAACCCAGCACCCCAATCCCCAGTCCTGAGCCCCAAACCCCTCCTTCTGTGGCTGGGCCCGGCCCCTCCCCTCTCGCAGCGCGGCCAACCCCCGCGGGCACCTGCCCCAGGGCCAAACCCCCCTCCCGTGGCGCAGCGCAGCCAACCCCCGCGGGCATCTACCCCGGGGTCAAACCCCACTCCCACGGCACGGCGTGGCCCGGCCAACTCCCTTCCCTCCCGCAGCATGGCCAAACCCTGGGGCCGACTCCTGCTCCCGCGGCGCAGGGAAACCCCTGCGCCCAACTCACCCCTCCAGCGCCAGCGGCGCAGGGAAGCCTCAGCACTCCTCCTCTAGGGCCAACACCCCCTCCCGCAGCACGCAGCAGAGCTGTGGGAGGGGGATCGGCCCGCGCACTTCCGAAACCCCCGGAAGTGATGCGGGCTTCAGAGAGGACTTCCGTCCACCCCGCGGGAAGCCGGCACTACACTAGAGGTAGGTAGTGGGGCTTCTCGGGGGTGAGGGGGAAAATGGGGGGCAGGGTTGCCCGAACGCCTCGCGATCGACTGGTCGAGGCCTTGCAATCGACCAGTCGATCACGATCGACGGGTTGATGACCACGGCATTATATCATTAAAGGGGACCTAGAAACAGATGAAATAGCCACCAAAGGGATAATACCTAGAAAGAAGAAAAGTTAAGGGCAGAACAGGGAAGGAAATCAGCTTACAAAATACCTTTTAGACAAGAGGAAGGTTAGTTATTCAATCAGTGAAGATGCCAACACATCAAAGAATTCAGGTCTTTATTGAAGCTGAAATTCAAAACAGTACGAAAATATAATAGTGGGGTTTAAAAAGTAAATTGTAAGCTATAAAGTAAGTTTAAACTACCTAAGACTCTTCTCTCTCCTGCAGCGTTCCAGTTCTCATACACAGCTGTCTTTGGGGCCTATACAGCATTCATCTTCATTAGGACAGGTTGGTGATGCAGGCTGCCTTCTCATGCAGCGCAGAAAACACAGTTGTTTAGACAAGCCATCCCTCCCAGCCTGGCATGTAGCCACGAGGGCTCAGTCCTTTCACCGTCTCTGTCTCCAGGCGTTGAATAGAAAATCTTGATTCTTCTTTGAGTGATTGCTCATGTACATTCCAAGTTAGGTGTGTGTGCCACATGCATAGTCGTAGGCTTTTCCCTAGCAGGTCCCTTAAATCTGCAGTGGAGACCCCTAGACTGGCACCAGTATGGAAAGGTATATAGCCCACTGCCGACCTGCTCCCGTCCCTCAGTTCCCTCTTGCTACCAGTGACAGTTGGAGCAATCTCTCTCTCTTGCCTCGAGCAAGTGTTCTCTAGCTTTATAGTGTAGACAGTTAATTGTTAATTAATTTGTAGATTAGTACTTAGTTGTGAATAGTTCTACAGGTTTAAACAATGTGTAAAGTGCCAGAAATTTATGCCTATGGGAGATTATTGTCTCAAGTGTCTGGGAGTGGTACACCTTGCACATAAGTGTAAGTTCTGCAAGGCTTTCAACCTAAGAACACGCAAGGACAGGGAGTTTTGTCCTTAAGAACTCCTTATGGAAAATTCTTTGTACCCCCATTCGCTGTCCCAGGCCTTGGGGCCTTAACAGGTGGCCTCAGTATGGTGAGAACCAGTGTCGGTGCAGAATATGGCACCTCTGTGCAAAGACTTGGAGAATTCTCCACCACACTGCCATTCTCCAGCACCAAAGGCACTGGCCCGACACCATTCCCGTTCTCTGGTGCTGTGAAAGCACCAGAAGCTCCCAGAGAGGGAAAGATCACCTATTGCAAAGGCAAAGAACTTGAAAAGGGTGCATCCTGTGCCAGGACATCCTCTGGAGCCGAGTGCCCAGCTGACAACATTCAGTCCAAGGAGAGTCAGATGGGGGATGTCAACATGCTGTCCACCCCTGAGACACATGAGGCGGCAAGAGACATAGAGTTGACGTTAGGTTGCTCAGCCTCTCCAAGAAGTTCCCCAGTGCAGAAGTTGGCACCATTGGTGGTTTTAGGTCCAATAAGTCATGTGGAAAATCGGCTATGATGTGGCAGTCGCCACTGACATGGCACCAGTCTCCTCAGCACTGGTCACCTTGGGACCGATCGCCTTAGCACTGTTCCCAGGACAACTCACTGCAGCAAGGCCATTCTAGGGACTTGACGCTGGCACAGCGCTCCCCAGCACCAACTGATATGGTCCCGCCCTGGTCCCTCCCGTTCAGCTTCGACTTCGGAGTCTGAGCCAGAATAGTAGTGGTCACAAAGGAGTTGCAAGAGGCACTCTTTGGCTTCCCTGGTAAGAGACCCACCTAGGGGTGTGGACCAGCTTCCATCTTCACAGCCTTGCAGATGGTAGCTACTCAGCAATTTGGAACTCCTTTGCAGTCCCAACGCTGGTTCTCACCATACTGAGGCCACCTGTTAAGGCCCCAAGGCCTGGGACAGCGAATGGGGGTACAAAGAATTTTCCATAAGGAGTTCTTAAGGACAAAACTCAGTGTCTGCCTTGCAGATGGTAGCTACTCAGCAATTTGGAACTCCTTTGCAGTCCCAACCGGCACCACAGTCACCTTCCAGACAGGATCTAAACCCTGTTCCGGAGTGGCCCGGTTCCGATTAATGGCACCTAGGAAGTGGAACTATCCCAGACCATGAGCAAGCTGGTACTAGTGACCATGGTCAAGCACTTCCGGTACTGGTCTTAGTACCAATGGTGGAGCAGGACTCAAGCTCCCTGGCCTCCCCTCTTCATCTTCTCTAGATGAGGCAGTGGCAGGATTGTCAATGTCCCTGCCACCCATGGATAGTCGGGCCCATCAGGATGTGGTAAAGCAGCTGGCCCAGAATCTTGGTTTGCAGGCTGAGGAGGACATAGATCCTATGGTGGACATCTTGTTGCCTGGGGGGGGGCCCTTCAGGTGGTCCTACCCTTTTATCAAAACGATCTCCTCAACAATGAAATCGCTTTGGCAGACTCCAGCTTCCATTCCCCCCACAGCCAAAGGGGTAGAGCGTAGATATTTTGCCCCTTCCTGGGGGTAGGAATATTTGTATACCTACCTGCAGCCGGGCACACTCATGGTGGATGCAGCAAATGCCAAGTAGAGGCAGGGACCTACTCCTAAGTCAAAGGACTCCAAAAACTTAGACCTCCTAGGCAGAAAGGTCTACTCGTCAGGTAGTCAGTCTACAGCTAAAAATCTCTAACCAACAGGCTGTCCTGAGCCAATACAATTACAATTCATGGGCGACCATGGGCAAGTTCAAAGAGCTCCTGCCACATCCAAGTTTGGGGCACCAGTGGAAGAAGGGAAAATCATTTTGAGACCCTCCTTACAAGCAGCCTTAGATCCAGCAGATTCATCAGCCCACCCTATGTCCAGGGGCATACTTATGAGGAGCAACTCCTGGCTTCAGGTCTCAGGGATACCCCTGGGGGTCCAGCAAACTATTCAAGACCTGCCATTTGATGGGTCAGAGCTCTGTGCTTCATACCCTTGAAGACACGAGGGCCAAGTTAAAATATTTGGGTCTGAATACACCATCAACCCAATGTAAACGTTTTAAACCCGCACCCCTGCCATGCTAATACCCGCCTCAGCAGCGGCAGGACTTTAATAGAAGGGACAATCGCAGAAATCACAAGTGGCCTCCAAGTGCAAATAACAACAGTGGAGGCAATAACCAAGGGCAATCCTCTTCCAGGCAGCCATCAGGGCCTAGGAAAAGCTTTTGAAGATGCACTCAAGGATGGTGCTACAGTCTCTCCTCTGGATCCAGTTCCCATCATACCATTTTACTTATTTCACAATACTGATTTGAAAACTTAAAACAAAATGATAAAACTCTCTCCTTGCCTTAGAATCAGCATTAGACACAATATTCTGGCTGGTGCACCTTTACCAATGGTAAGGTAAAAGTCCTTTCTGCTTTCAGAAAGGGTGGCTGGCAAAATACGAGACACATTACTTTGCATAAAGATGCATGGCTATGGCATGTTTCCCATGTATCCCAGGACCTTTTTTTTTTTTTTTTTTTTTTGCCTGTTTTCCACCCAAACCCTCACCCCACTCCGAGAGACCCGTTCCTTCACATCCTGAATGTTAGATGAGCATTAGCCTTTATCTAGAGTGCACTACCCCCTTTCGGAAATCAATCCAGCTGTTTGTTGTGGTAGCAGAGAGAATGAAGAGGCTTCCAGTCACCTCCCAGAGGATTTCTTCTTGGATCACAGCCTGTATCTGCATGTGCTATGATCTAGTGAAGGCTTTCCACTTTCCGCCCACTCAGCCCAAGCACAGGCTTTGTCAACAGCTTTCCTTGCTCATGTCCCGATTGAAGACATTTGCAGAGCAGCTACATGATCATCTCTTCATGTCTCATTATGCAATCTGGCAACATGCTAAAGATGACACTGCTTTTGGGAGGGCAGTTTTGCAGACAGCAGGTCAGTGAACTCCAACCCCTCCTCCATAGTGCAGCCTGAGAGTTATCTAACTTGGAATGCACATGAGCAATCACTCAGAGAAGAAAAGGCAGTTACGTTACTTCCGTAGCCGGTTCTTTGAGATGTGTTGCTCATGTCCATTACAAAACCCTCCCGCTTCCCCTCTGTCAGAGTAAATCTGCCAAGAAGGAACTGATGGAAAAGAAGGTCAGCAGTGGGCTATATACTTTGCCACACTGGCACCACTGTAGGGGTCTCTACTGCTGACCTATGGGTCCTGCTAGGGAAAAGCCTTCCAACGCGTACACCTGACTTGGAATGTACATGAGCAACACATCTCAAAGAACACGTTATGGAAGGTACGTAACCGTCTTTTTCTTCTTCCATCCAGGACACCTGATTGGCCCTGTTCTGTGCCACTCCTTCTGCAACTACATTGGCTTCCCTGCCATCTGTGCAGCCCTGGAGCATCCCCAGCGCCTCACTGTTGTAATCTTCTATGTTCTGGGCATGGTGCTCTTCCTCCTGCTCCTGCACCCCATGACTGATCCAACTTTCTTTGGAGACATTCCAATTTGCTCTCTGTCTGCAGCCAGGTCCAGCATCTCTGTGTGCTCCTGACACCTGGGGCACGGGTTTCAAGACCCGACACCCATCCCTGCTGAGAGCAAGAGATATATTTTTTTATTGCTAAAGTACTTTGGAAGATGTGCCAACTTGTCGTCATTATTCTGCTGATGGGGGGGGGGGAGTGCAGCCCCCCAAAAAAACTACCTTCATAAATTACCACTGGTTAATCCCAGGTGACTAACTATGCACTTCCTTATTAAATATTTTTGGATGTAATGTAAAGTATACAGTGCTCACTTTATATTTGTATTACAAATATTTGGGCTGTAAAAATACCTATTGCATAAGTGCAACTGACCAATTTTTTTTGTTACATAATAGTACTAAAAACAAACGTAAAACTGTAAAACTTCAGTGCCTACAAGTACACGCAATCCTTTGTTTACATTTATGGGAGCTTATGTGCAGATATAAACATTTGTATGCCCCCTTCCCTGCTTCAGTGACCAATCCAGTAGGCATATTTAATGAAGTATGCCACCCCTCCCCCCACATTTTACAATGTTCATTTTAAGTGACATTTTCACTGTAGAATTAACAGAAGGGGGACGCTACCAATGTGCATTTTCTAACGATAGAGCACTTTAGCAGGTAGCCTGAGGTGAAGCTCCCAAAAAGATAGGAGCAGAACCTGACCACTTGTTTAACACCGCAAATATTTGTTATCAAAACTTAACGTGAGCACTCAGTAAAACTGAGCAATGTAGACTCGCTAGGAAAAAATGGGAACCCCTGCTCTGATGAACGCGACTGGGGCGAGCGAATGCAGAGACCCTGCAGGCTTCTGCTTGACTTGTTTGACCCGCCCAAGGAGCCGCGCAGCCAAGGTGTGAGCCGGCCCCTAAAGTGGCCTGAGCCACCAGCCTGCAGGGCGCCCAGCCCCGAACCGCTCCGCCTGGCTCCCAGGAAGCTGCAAGCGGGGCGCTGCTGGGGGCCGGCGTTAGCCACCCCCATGGGCAGGGGCATGAGCGCGGCCTAGCCCGCCCCCGTTTGCACACGTGCCCCTGCAGGCTTACTTGCCAGAATTACTCTGACGGGGGCCTAAAGTGGCCTGAGCCACCAGCCTGCAGGGCGCCCAGCCCCGAACCGCTCCGCCTGGCTCCCAGGAAGCTGCAAGCGGGGCGCTGCTGGGGGCCGGCGTTAGCCACCCCCATGGGCAGGGGCATGAGCGCGGCCTAGCCCGCCCCCGTTTGCACACGTGCCCCTGCAGGCTTACTTGCCAGAATTACTCTGACGGGGGCGGCCCCCCCCGCGGGCCGCTTCCGGGCTTAGACCCTCCCCATTGGCCGCCGCCTCCATCAATACGGGCTGGATCCCCCCCCTTCCCAGGGGTGGGCACTGTCGCAATGTGGGGCACTAGGGCGCAGGCGCAACTTCGGGGCGGGGGCATGGCCGTTTCCAGGACTCTGGAGCCGGGGTGGCGCAGCGAGAGTTCTGGCCCCAGAGGCTCCTGCCAAGGCTGGGCTGGGCGGGGAGCGCGCGCTGGGCGAAGCCGCACTGGGAGCGCAAGGCAGATGTGCAGGGGACCGCCCCAGCGGGCTGCTCCCCCAGGGATGGCGTCGGGGCTGTGCCTGCTCAAACCCTGCCCGGCAGAGAATCAGCATGGTTAGTGAGAACCAGCCCTCTTGGCCTTGGGATCCCTCCCTGCTCTAGCAACAAACAGTCCCACTTGGGCGCTTAGAACTGTACAAGGATCTTCAGTCACACCCCTGCATTTTGCTCTTTGGGCACGTGTTTATCTAGCAGTAGTTTCGAAGCACTAGAGTCACTGCCACTTCAGTCTCCACTCCCCGTCCCAGTGCCCTAATGCAGTGTTTCTCAAACTGTGGGTCGTGACTCCCAGGGGGGTCACAAGCAACTTAGAGGGGGTTTGCAGCTGGATTTGGTTTCTCACTTGCAACCCTCTTCCCCGGGCCGCGAAGAGCAGCAGGGCAGTGAAAGGCATCCACTTGCAAGCTGTGCGGCATGGCCGGGCCGTGGGGCTCCAGGAGCGTGGCTCAGCAGCAGGAGGAGGAGGCAAGGCGACGGGAGAGTGAGGCCGATGCAGGAGTGGATGCACGAGGGGCTGGCCAGGCATGGTTGCTGGGTGACCCAACGCTTCCCCAACTGGGAGAAGGTGGGGTCCCTCAGGCAGGGGGCAGGGGGATTGGGTTGGGGCAGAGGACCCTCGGGGTCAGAGGAGGAGGCAGAGGAGACATGAGAGAGGAGTGGAGGACAGAGGAGAGGAGAGAGAGTAGGAACCAAAGGGACACAGTGGAAAAGAGTCATAGAGGAGAAAGAGACGGGGGCGGGGGGAAGGAGCCTGCAGGGGGGAAGGGCGTTGAGGACCGCAAATGCCTTGAAGGAACCCCAGGAGGGCAAGGAGTCTGGTGAGAAAGGGGGAGGAAGTGACCCAGGGCAGTGAGGGGGAGGGAGGTCACACAAATTCATTTAGCCTATTAGGGTGTTGTGGTATCACAAAGTTTGAGAACCCCTGCCCTAATGAATCAAACACATCCCAGGAGAAGTAGTGACTTAACTTCACCAACAGAGGCACTGAGAGCCAACAAGGGAATGGTATCTTCCCCAGGGTCATATAGGCCTGGACAAAACTTCCCTCCTAGAGCTGGAGCTAGGAGCCAGGTACCCTAATGGCCACAGTAAAAAGATTTAAAAAGCCCTGTTCACTCATCCCAGAGAGATACTCCCCCATTCCTCCACCACAAGACAGATGCAATTTTAAAAATAACAAAAAACCAAAACCTCAATTAGCGGGGGGGGGGGATTCTTATGGCCCAATCTGCCTGACTCTGCCTTATGCACCTCAAGAAACTATATGGGCCAATGGCCTGCCACTGCAGGGGCAGGCAAAATACAGTCTTTGTGCCAGATCCAGACGTTTGTTGGCCACCAAATGTCTGGATCTGGCCTGCCACTGTCCTGCAGCCCAGCAGGAGCCTCAGGCAGGCTCCCCAACTTCCACGCCCCAGCACGCCGCATGAAGGCCACATGCTCTCTGCATACTACTAGCCTGTGCCTGTACTGCAAGCATGCCTCAGGCAGCTCCCAATGGCTGCAAGATTGTGCTAGGGGCAGGGACAGTGCACATAGCCCTTCATGTGTGCACGCGCATGCTGACGGTGCACAGCGAGCAATATGATACCCACTGAGGCTGCTTTCAGTGGTGTGCAGGGGGTTGGAAGGCAAGGACCCCTACTTGGCTCTGGGAGGCTGGCCAGGAGCTACTTAGGTAAGCACCTCCCAGCAAGAGCCTGCATCTAGCACCCCCAACTCTTCCTGCCCCCTATTTGTTTCCCCTCCTGTACCCCTGCCCCAGGTCATAACTCAAACCCTCTCCACTCCTTGCTCCTGCATTCTTACCATGTACCCCACGGTCCTGCCTGAAGTCACACCCAAACCCCCACGTGCACACACCCCACACCTTTGCCTATCCCAGGTCACAACTCCCCTCCCGGATTCTTCAACCCCTCTTACACATCATACCCCTCCCAGCCCCTGCATCACCTCCACACCTCAATCCCCTGCATCAGGTCATATCCCCCTCCTTCATTCAAACTCTCCCAGACCCCACACCGTCTCCTGCAGCCCAAGCCCTTACCCTGAGCTCCTTTTGGCACCCAACTTCCAGCCCAGACTGTGCACTGCCTCCATTAATATCATGGAAGAGTGCAGCCCTTGAGCCCTTACCAAATTCTTGACCTACCCCCAGCCAGCCCCACCGTCTGAAGGTGTGAACCTCTAGGGAGTGGGTGCTTTGGGAAAGCCTTCAAAACTCTGGCATTTGACAGGGTTGCCAGGTGTCTGGTTTTCGCCCCGAAAGTCAGGTATTTGTGGCCCCTGTCTGGTAAAAAATTCCCAGAAAATACCAAACATGTAAAATGTCAGGTATTTTCTGTTTTTCTCGGACGGAAGGCCAGTGGGGACGTTTTTCCTTGCCGCGTCTGATGGGGGTGGGGACGAGCAGGGAGTGTGGGGATTTAAAGGCACAGCAACCTTTCCCCTCCCCCCAACAAGTTTGGTCTCCCATTTTTTGTTGGGTGTTTTTGCTGACATATTTGGGATTTTTTGTGACAGTATCTGGCAACCGTACCTGCTTGTCCTGAGTGATAGAAAACCAGCCAATCGCTGTAGATTTTGAGCACAGTATATGGGTGTTAGAGCAGCTGGGTAACCATGGTGACAGAGTGAACAGGACTTCCTCTCCCGTCATCCTCTGCACCCCTGAGGCAATGGGTTAGGCCAGGAGCCATCAGTCCTTGGCCCTAGGCTCCAGGCAGGGAGCCAGAAGCACTAGGAGCACCAAGCCCTGCAAGGAATGATACCTCAGGCTCCTCAGAGTTGGGAATAGAATCCAGGACTCTTAACTCCCCACCCAACTTCTTGCCACTGCAATCCACTAGATCCCCACACACACACCCAAAGAGCCAGGATTCTTAAGGTCTATCCCAGTCCTGCTATGGGAGGTGAGTTCCCGTTTGGGGCAGACCCCCCTCACCCCAACCCTCCCCCCCACTGGCTGGTTAAACACCACCAGATATGGCACATGACATTTTACACCTGCATTGAGCTGCTTGTCGCTACTTTCAAAGCCCTTTACAGCCTATCCCAGCCAACCGGTCCTCTCCCATCGGTCCTCTCCCATCTGCTCTCAAGAAGCCAGCCTCCACTGCCCACTCAGCATGTTTCCAGTCAAGCCCCTTGGGGCTCTCTCCTGCACCACTCCCCACCTACTTGGAAGGAGCTCCCCATAAACACACACAATGCCATCTCCTGAGCTTTCTGCCAATGCCTCTGCAGCACATTCCTTTGCCACAACATTTGCAGAAAACCTGACACGTCTCAGGCTGCTGGCGTGCAGTGAGCACGGCTTCTCCTGCTGACTTGAGAGGTCTCTTTGGTTCCCTGTCCAGCCAGCTCCACCTGTTGGCCTTGCAGTAGCTTGTGAGTGCTCTGGGGGCGCTAGCAGAATGGGGCCCATGACTACTGTTGACAGCACTACTGACATCCCCTTGTAAATAACGAGCTTGCTGTTCAACGAGCTAGGCAATGGCAGGGCTTGACCTCTAGGCAGGAGTGAAGCAGAAGACAACTAGACTCAGAGCCACTGAAGTGCCTAATGCCCATGGACCCTAGTGACACATCCAAAGCCACACATGGCTAGGGGTAGAACTC